CGCCATGGGGCTCCGGAAGAAAGGCTCCAGGAACCCCCCGGTGCTGAGCCACGAATTCATCCTGCAGAACCACGCGGACATGGCGTCGTGCGTGGGCATGTTCTTCTTGCTGGGGCTGATGTTCGAGGGCACGGCCGAGGTGTCCATCGTCTTCCTGACGCTGCAGCACGGGGCCTCCGTGCCCGCGGGGGAAGGGGCGGCCGCGGGCGCGCGCACGCTGTACCACTACGGCGCCCGCGACCTGGCCACCGTGTTCTTCTACATGCTCGTGGCCATCATCGCGCACGCCACGCTGCAGGAGTACGTGCTGGACCGCATCGGCCGCAGGATGCAGTTCACCAAGGCGCGCCAGAGCAAGCTCAACGAGTCCGGCCAGCTGAGCGTGTTCTACGTGGTGTCCTGCGTCTGGGGCGCCTGCATCCTCGTCTCTGAGAACTGCCTGGCAGACCCCACGCTCCTGTGGAGGGCGCACCCGCACCCCCTGATGACCTTTCAGATGAAGTTCTTCTACATCTCACAGCTGGCCTACTGGTTCCACGGTTTTCCCGAGCTCTACTTCCAGAAAATCAAGAAACAGGACATCCCTGGTCAGCTCATCTACATTGGGCTCCACCTCTTCCACATTTCTGGAGCCTATCTGCTGTACTTGAATCACCTGGGGCTCCTCCTTCTGGTGCTGCATTATTTTGTTGAATTACTGTCTCACCTGTGCGGCCTGTTTTATTTTAGTGATGAAAATTACCAGAAAGGGGTTTCTTTGTGGGCCCTTGTGTTTATCTCAGGGAGACTTGTGACTTTAATTGTTTCCGTAGTCACCGTGGGGTTCCATCTGGTGGGATCGCACACGCGGAATACGACGGATTCTCTTGCGGGAAACGTCAATGTATTGGCTGCCAAAATCGCAGTGTTGTCTTCCAGTTGCTCCATCCAAGTGTACATAACGTGGACTTTGATTACTGTCCGGGTTCAAAAGTGGGTGGAAGATTCTACTGTGCAGGCCTGCAGTGCGAAAAAGAAACGCTCCACGAGTAAAGGAAAGTCTAGAAAAAGAACAGAAAATGGAATGGATACTTCAAACAGAGTAGACCCTGCCCCAAAGAGGAAAGAGAAATCATTATGATGAGTCACAAGCTACCTGAGCAAAGAATTGAAAGGAAGCAGCTCTCCAGTGTGAGATTTCTTTGTGCTACCGATGTTTGCCAGCATAGTTTGTGCTCTTTGGTTATTTGTATCGTTTAATGTATTTTTTAATTCACTTGAGGGGAGGTTGGTTATTATGAGTGGAAAAAAATTGGTTAAAACTAAGCTACTCGCCATCAAAATTGTATCAAAATAGCATATTTTGTTTTGACTTTTTACCTAGAATCATTTCTTAATATAGAGGTGACTACAAAATTTCGTTTGTCACTGGTACAGTTTCTTGTTTCCGCTAATCTTAAGGAGATTAACAAAAGGAGTAATTACAGCATTTTCATAATGTTCTTTCATGATCAAATCAAAGATCTATACAAGTAGAAGTCATGTCAGTATTAATTTTTATTTTTCTTAGAATTTATAACAAAATATTTGTAAACCCACCAGATAACCCTGCATTTTATTTTATATGTATTTTATTTTAATTGTTAGTGCTACATTCCCCTTAAATTGTCAAGATACTAATATATAACATGTATAGAGATTTATTGCTATATATATTGAGCCAAAATAATTGATTAATATAGAAGTATTCCTAGAGATTTGAAATTATTCCCTTCATTTTAAACATTTGTAAAAGAGTACTTATAAATATTACTGAAGAAAATAAATCAAACTCAAATAGTCTTTTTAATGTTTTTAGTAAAATAATTCTTAATGAGAATTCATAAATTTAGTAACAATAGCATCTAGGAAAAATTTTGTTTTATCTATAAAAGATTTTGAAATCTAATGTTTGATTGTATGTATAAAAATAACAGCTGATTGCATTTGGAAAACATTAAATACATTAAATGAATACTTTAAAAATCAGATGGATAGTCTTATGAAAGACTTTTTAAAACATTGTTTTGCTACTATCTTCAATCTGGAAATACTTATTTGTAAGCGACATTATGGAAATTATATATGTGTATAATTTGTGTCTAGAGAAGCCTTAGCAACAATGTAGCGGGTGATTATATTTGTCTTTTCAACCCTCATTTTTAATTCATTTCCGTATTTTGCTTATATGTATTTTCAAAGCTACAGTAATTTAAAATATGGTAGGTTAGTACTGTACATTTTCTAATCCTCTATATTTTCTCTATATTCTCTCATTTTGTTACTTTTAGTAGCCTTTTCATAGGTATCTTCTAAATAATTTAACTTTTATCAGGGATCAAACTTAAGACCTTGCACTTGCCAGGCAGGTGCTTATGCCACTGAGCTCTCTCTCTGGCCCTAAATAATTTAACTTTTCCAGTGAGATGCCTGTGTTGTGGCAGAAGAGGCCTTCCGATTGATAGGGCACCCCTTGATAATCTGGGGGAGGAATGGACCTGCCCGGTGTAGAGATTTGTCAGTATTGATAAGCGTGAGAGAGAATTGATTCTTAGTCCCATCAGATCAAAGCAGAAGAAATGTCACATTCCTTATTATTGAGTTCTTCAAAATAGTCCTTTTCCACTGCTGTCTTTGAATCAAATCTACATCCTATGAGAAGCTGCCCATACTGAACAGAACAGAATAGACTCTGCTAGCTACACACAATTATGTATAAAATAAGTTTTTAATACAAAAAACCAGATTTACCAAATAAGAATGATTGAATGATTATATAGTCAGTAGTTTATGTAGATTCTGCAGTTGAGGCACTTAAGAAGATGTAGGCTCCCCCTGTGTCTGGCAGCCTTATGAGTTCATGAGTGTGAGGTCACACGTTGAGTCCTGCTCTTCGTTGCTCAGCTGCACTGCCTTCTGTTTCAGCAGGCACCATGTTTTGTGGGGGAATGGCAGCAATATGGCAGCCAATCTTACTCATCTTGGCATTTTGGAAATACGCCAGTGTCTCTGTGGCCTACTCCTGGGAATATTTCACATATCGGTAAAGTTTCAGTTGAATTTAAAAGTGAACAGGATTTTGCACAAACTTCACAGTAATGATGTGTATGTCTTTTAGCCACCAATAATTGAAAGGACTACTCAATAATTCAGGTAAAATAACAATTTTAAACAAAGAGAAAGCTAAGTGAAGGCTCAATTTGAGTACATCCATCAAATAAATCATGTTAGGTACACAATCTCATGGTTGAGGAAACTCAGAAAATAGAGCATTCGCTAGTGCCTAGCTGCAATTTCTTCTAAACTGTCACCAGTGAAAACTGTTTACATCAGGACAAATTTAATATTTAATTCTCTTACAGTACTGGGTGCTTAATTACTCCAAAAAAGATTTTCAGTGAACAAAACCAATAAACATTAAGTTTTCAACACAATCATTGAAATACAATTTCTAAACTGTGTATGCTTTGAAAAGATATTGTCAATATTACTGATATAAATTCAACAGAGAAAACCAATAAAATGATGATAAATGATGAAATCAGGGTCAGTGCCCTGCTGCAGTCTCAGAGTTCTGGGAACTTTGAAAGAAGTATTTTTGAGTCCAGTTTTACAAACCACTAAATCACCAAAGATACTCATCTATCTCAGGAAGCTTCCATAAGACTGAATCATATATGTGTGTATAGTGTGCAGTTTCTTTCAGTATGTGTGTGCATAAAATATTTTTCATATTGTAGTCCACACTTGCAATCCTAGTACTCAGGAGGACGAGGCAGAAGGATTGCCTTGAGTTGCAGTGAAGCCTGAACTACGTAGAGAGTTTAAGTCTCGCCTTAACTACAAAGCAAAACCTTGTCTTAAAACAACTTTAGACAGATAAATGTATCCAATTCATATATGTACAGTACCAATTGGTATATGAGTTTAGGTTCATATATGCATAAACACATTATGTATATGTATGCACGTATACAGGGTTTTTTCCTCATATGTATACTTTTAATGGACTTACGTTTTAAGGTAGTTATAAGTACAAAGCACATTTGAGAGGACACTTGGATTTCACATTTCATGTTGACTTCATACCCATACAGCCTCTCCTACGGTCAACCACAATGACACATTTGTTACAAGCAATGAACCTACATTGGCCCATTATTAACACCCAAGTCCATATTAAGATTCACTTGATGTGTAGATTTGGTGCATTTGACACAAGTATATGATATTTATCCAATACTGTAGTGTTATGCAGAGCTCTTTCTCTGCCCTAAAATCCCTGTGCTCAATCATTTCATCTTTTCTTGCACTGTAGATGTTTAAACACTATAAAAGTATGGAAGTTCCCTCATTTCTAGATTGGAGGCAACAGAAAGTTTATGTATAGTGAAGACATGTCATATATGTGTGAAGTTTGTAGATTATATAATGCATATTAAAGCTGTATAATCACAATTAAATGGACATCAATGCTCTTCTGAATAAATACAGAATAACTACATTGTATTTTCATACATGATTTACAGAGGACACAATCATAGAAATATTTTTATATTTTTATTTTTAAAGAGAATAAAAAACTAATAAAAAATTAGAAACAATACAGAATTCCTTAAACAAGATGGTAGGAGTTCAACATTGGCTGTTATAATGCATATTGTTGTCTTCATATTAGTTGTTCAGATTACCAGATATAAACATGCAAAATTAAATTTTAAAAGTTTTAAAAATTAAAAAGAAAAAATAAGTTTTAGCTTTCTTTCAATAAATCATTAGAAATCAGCAGTACAATTATTCCAGCTATCCTCAGTATGTCTGTATATATTTCCCTTCTCTGTTTCCTCCTTCATTCCTTTTGTCTCTTCATTAGTTTTTCCTTTTCCTCATCACAGCTGTTCCTTCCTTTTGAGCTGTTCCTTTTTCTTTCACAATATCTGTTACACCTTTCAGATTTTATTTACTCTTTCTTATACTAGGGAGACAATACCGTGTTTACACATATGGGTCTCATTTATGTCACTTAGAAGTATGGTCTCTAACGAACAGAATGAAGCAAATCATCAAAAAGATTAGACTCCAGGACCAAGTGGGATTTATCCCAAGAATGCAGAGATGGTTCAATATACATAAATTGTTAAATATAATACACCATATCAGCAGCAAAGATGAAAATCACATGATCATCTCAACAAATGCAGCAAAAAGTTTTGACAAATCCAACACACATTCATGGTAAAGCCTTACAGAAAACTGGCAAGGATGATCTTTACCTCAATCTGATAAAAAGCCATCTATAAGAAACCAACAGCCAATGTTATGCTAAATAGACCAAAACATAAATGTAATATCTAAGTCAGGCTTTTAACAATGTAATCTAAGAGGAAGGTACACATGTGGAAAAAAAGCTTACTCCTTAGCCCTGGAGCATTCCTGCTGATAGAAACCAAGCAACCGAGTAAAAGCTAGCAAGGGAAAGTCACCACACAGTTAAGATCCAGAAGAAATATTCAAAAAGCAAAGGTGCCTGGCACAGCAGAATGTAGACATCAGTGATTACTGATATGGTAGGCCACATAAATCAATGAGCAGGTAAACAAAGCCACAGAAACTTAAAATACTAAAAACATGAAATGTATAGTGTTTTTGATGTTATCAAGACTTCAAATTCCTTAAGATTAGTTTGAGAAGATTGAACTTGGCAAAAGGTATGTCGCTATGGAAACACCGTGGAATCAGTTTCTGCGCATTGACATGAATGAAGATTCTACTGATGCATACTGAGAGGAAAGGCTGGGATATATCGTCTGATACTCAAATGCATATTCCACAAACGTCCTGCCAAGTGAAGCAGAGAAATGGAAGAGCCATGCATTCCCTTATGTAATAAAGGCATTAAGAGGTCAAATAGATTGTTTTGGTGGTGTTGTAATTGTCCTTAGGTTAGAAAAATTGCATGGTAGATGTTCATTGACTTACTCAAGAAATGATGAGATGACACCGAGGAGACAAATGATAATGGAAGACAACAAACCCAATGGTAGAACTCCACTGAAGAAATACACAGGTGACAGTAATCGCCAATTTGAAAATAGCATTTTG